GTGGTAAAGTACAAGTTGTTCAGTTTGATTTTTACTTATCTTCATAAAGGCATCCACGATACGAAATTTCTGCTTGATCAAGATTTATGAATGATTGTTTGTGCCTATTTTATTTTCATTTGGTGAGGTTCTAGTGTCTAGACAGCAGAAAGTTAACCTTCCATATTCTATGTTTGTCTAGAAACAACTAATGATTGGTCTGAGGAGGAGATTGAGAAAACATCAGAGGCAATTGGGTATGGGGCTGTTAAGTAAGCTTCTTGAACTTTAAGCCTTTTTCATTTTCCTTCGTTAAAGCAAAATCAATATTCTATCTAGCCATGCTAATTTGTAATTAATTTCTCCGGAGGCATATTTCCTTTTGTTAATGTCGAGACAGATGTATTGGCAAACACATTCTCTTTGACCAAAATTTTAAAACTGTCATATGCATGGTGCTAACTGATAAGTAGAATAAATCAAGACAAAAGGAAAGTATATGAGCATAGTCTCAGTCTATTCGGTTGTTACCCTACTGCGAATTTTCCAACTATTTTTCCTACTTGGTATTATATCTCTCTTCAACAGTTAGGAGGATTGGTTTAGTAACTTATGGTTCCACTTCTACATATAGTTTTGTTTCGACTTAAAAAAATTTATACAATTGTGTCGCTTGCAATCTACACCTCTGGTGGAAATTCTAAATGGCTTATCGATTATAGTCCCTTATGTTTGCGCTTTTGATTTATGTTTACAGGTATGCTGACTTGAAGATAAACAGATTAACGAATTACACGTTCAATTTTGATCAGATGCTTAGTGATAAGGTGCATTTACTACATACAAATTTTGAGAGTTAACATGTGAACTTACAGTAGAGAATCCAGTAGATTTAGTAGCCATTTTCTTTGGGGCCTGTCATATTTTGGTCCTTTGAACTTGAAGTAACTTTTGATAACCATGGATTGAAAGTATCATTGTTCTAAATTTTGATTAAATACCAACACATGGATAACACACCTTTTATTTGTGGAAATATAGACTCTTTTGACTTTGTTTCCGGTGGTTATCACTTGGATTCAACTTTTGAAAGTGCAACTGATAATAGGACTTAAAAACCAAATGGACCTAAAAACCAAATGGACCGAACAATGAAAACTGGTTTTGTATATATCTGTCAACAGAGGAATAATTCCTCAATTACAAATACTTAAGTAGATTAGTCTACTAGTCTTATCTAAGAAAGTTAAGGAAACAATGGATGGAGCAAAGCTCCTTACAAGATGATATCAGAAAAGAAAAATGTAGAGTCTAAAGGAAACCCCTGCTTAGAGAGAATCGCTTTTGACTAAGCTAAACCACCCAGTAAAATCTTATGAAATTTCTGTTGAAACAGCTAAGAAGATTACTCCTGTAGCAATAAATGAACCCTTTTCTTATCCCTAAGAAAACTAATGATCTAAAGTTATTTATGTCTCATCTTCCTAAGTTCAATGTGAAACAGGGGAATACTGCTGTTTATTTGCTCTATGCACATGCTAGGATTTGCTCTATTATCAGGAAATCTGGCAAAGACATGGAAGAAGTAAAGAAAGTAAGTTTATTTTTCTTCCTTAGATGACGACTTACCATATTTATTGAAATTTGATTTTTTTTTTTTTTTTTTTTGTATCATATGCTTAATTTTACGATATAAGATACAATAGTTGTGCCTAGTTTAGATCCTGCCTTGGTTGATTTGATACCAAGTCAATTCAGCACTCATCTATTACAACTGTGATATGGCTCACAATTCAGTGTGTGTTTATTATATATATATAGATAGTTATGATCAGATGAAATCAACTTGTGCATATTTCTTACTCTATTTAATGTCCCTGCCATCTTGTTGCGACAGAATGGGTTTATAGTTTTGGATCACGAAGATGAGCGTTTATTGGGGCTTCATCTGCTACAATTTCCTGAGGTAGGACATATGAATGGTTTATGTTGTTTTTAAGCTTTAGACCTTTACATACCACTTACTTCTTACCGGGGTTCCGTGTTCTTTAAACAGAGGACTTGAAATATCATATGATTAAAGCAGACATTTCTACATATTATTTATAATAAAAAAAGATACTCAGAATCTCACTCATATGGGTTTTGGGTATTGTTTTATTTTTCAGGTTTTTGAGGAGGCATGCAGCAATTTATTACCCAGTGTGTTGTGTGATTACCTATATTCCTTGGCAGAAATCTTTTCAAAAAAGTTTTATTCTAATTGTCAGGTAATCATCTTCTGAAGCCATCATCTTATGCTATACATTCAAATTTCTTCGGCTGTTCTTTTTCCTATTTTCCATTTATGTGGTTTGCATAAAGCTGCCAAGTAGAATATTTGTTATATCTCATGTTGAAGATAGGGTACTATACATCATCCATGTTACTGATGGGTCATTTTCTTTGTCAGGTTGTAGGATCGCCTGAGGAAAGTAGTAGACTTTTGCTATGTGAAGCAACTGCAATAGTGATGAGAAAGTGCTTTTATCTCCTTGGAATTGAACCTGTTTACAAGTTATAACCCATCTGATGGAGTTCAAATGATTTTTGTTTCATAGGATTTTTTGTTTTTTTACTATATAAATAAAACTTGTTCTGGCAAGTTATCATATCCTTTTTGTTTTGTTTATTGTATTGGTATGAGGTGAAAGAGGGAAAATTTGTAATGTTTTATAGCAAATTTATTGTCAGGGTTCAAATTAATTTCGTTTTTATAAGAGCTATATATTTCATTTGATTTGTGTTTCATGTGAAATGAAAAGAATTGGACTTATGTGGATTCTAATAGACTAAGCAAAAACGCAACTGTATATAGAATCAGTGTGCACATTCAATCTTAAATATTAATCAATTTTTGTTAAAAGTTGTTTGAATTTATGTTGAAGCTTTGAGCTGGTGAATATCGTCTATTTTGTATTTTTCATTTTTGTTAATCATAATCACATTTTTATGGATGTCTTTTGCTTAGGCTGTACTAGTATTAGTGCCTTTGTAATTCTTTTTCTGGCCTGTTTTGGTGGTTTGTATTCAGGTTTTGGGTGTGCTGTTTATGTGGCTTGTGATGAGCAATACTAGTAAATTTTTTCTGCAATATTCTCTTGTTTCAGGTGGTTGGGTTTGAAGTAAAGTGGGCGGGGGTTTGAGTTCTCTATATTCTTTTTGGCTAATATAGCATTGTTTTCATGTGGGCCTGCAGAATTTTTGTATCAGTGTTGCTAGTTGATCTCACCAGTCGATTAGAATGTGCCGCCGGCAACACATTTGCAGCAGCAACGGTCAGCAACGGTCAACAAGAGAGGAGGGAGGTGTATCTGCAGACACTTCGATGTTTAAGTTAGTGGGTGAAGAGGTAGCAAGAAAGAGTAGAGAATAAAATACTTGACCCTCCTGCAGAGGAGAGTTTTTATAGAGTTTTCAGCACTGAGCCAATGATCTCTGTTATGGGCTAAATGTCCAAGTCCACAACGAATGATTGTCAGGATTTCTACGTGGCCTAGTGATGAGCAGCATGTGCCCATCATCTTCGATCAACTGCCCCACATTCTTTGGATAGTGGGCGGATTTGCCCATTATGAAGGGCAGAAAGATTTCGCGAGATGTGTGGGTCAAGTTGAAGACGTGTCTTCGGGTGAGGAGCACGTGAGAAAATGTCTTTTACTGGTTCTAAGGGGTTGGGGCAGCATTCTGGGTCGTCATTAACGTAGGATTGAATTGAATAGTGTTCGATGTTGGATTAGCCACAAACCCAACCTAAAACACTAGTTGTTGTATTCATAGTATTGCTTATGCCATTTAGTTAATATAAATTACTATTTTGCTGTTTAAAAATAAACATCTTTATGGTGGGGTTTGGATTGCTAGGATGAATGAAATGAAAAAGAATGATAAATAATGATATTTTATTGTTTGAATTTATAAATAGTGGGTAGAGTAGAATAAAATATGATGGAATTTATTTTATCAATTTTTTCATTTTGTATTTTATTTTTTATTCCATCTGCTCTTTTTTAATTATATAATATTCAATTCTCGTATGGTTCTTTTTATTCTATCAATCTAATCATAGTCTTCATCGTGGTTTAATTATTTTAAATATTTATATTTTTCAACTGAAATAGAACATTACAATAAAAATTGCATTATACCTCCAAAATAATGTTAAGAAGACATGATCCAAGCTGATACTTGGCATGTCGCTCCTCTTCCAGGGCCATCACAAGTAAACCGAAAACCAAGATTTGTGTTATCCGATATCAATCGTGAGCTACAAGCAAATAGAAATCTTCTAGGAGTATCAATACCGTCACATGAATTGTTGTAAATGCATGAATATGATATTTAAAAAAATCTACAATTACTAATGGAATAGTGAGGTGAGTCAAGGTTAATTTTTGATGGATTTCATTGCATATATAATGATTTAAGATTCATTGCCCATACATTTTTTAGTATAGATCTCTTCAACCTCTCTGATTTCCATCATTCCCATCCTCGCTTCATTTCTCTCTGCCTCCTTACTATGTCTTTTTCTGTTGCATAGTATATAGCAAGAGAGAATACAAATACTTTTGATTGATGCATGAATCTAGTAGTGAAATCGTCATGAATAACCATTTGATGTACTAAAAATACATGTTAATTATTATATATATTTTTAAAATTAAACTAATAATATTGGGTCAGATAATAAGGACTTATTCATTTTCTAAAGAGTCATAGCTTCACCTCTTGAAGTGAACATTTATTTGACGAGTCTTAAGAATCCAACTCAATTAAACTTTTATTTTTTGATTTTTTTAAAACTTGAAGAAAATTCAATGTATGTTTTTAAAAATAAAATTTATTTATTTAATTTCTTATTTTATATTTTGAAGATACAAGTTAGCACTTTCCATCTTTTATTTATAGTTTTATAATTGCAAAAGCTTATTTTACACATAACATGGATTCACCTCTAATAATTGATATAATTTGAAACCTCAAGGAATCAAAAAGTAACTCTCTCTTTTAGTTAATAGAGATGAAAAAGGAACTCTTGAAGTCTTTTTTGATATTGTAGCCTTTGGACTATACCATATTCTATCACCATAACTTTTACATTTCTTCATTCTCTTTTTGTAACCCATGCTTTTCTTTGGAACGTCTTCCATCTTTTGTACCTCACCTAAACAACTGAATGATTGTGTCTTCCCTTCATAGAACATTGACAACCCTCTCCTACACAAATCATACACAATACTTAATAAAAATCTCCATTTAATAACATTTTTGGAATAAAACTTATAAAAATATATGAAGAAATTGTATACATACTTTATTGGAAGATTGTTCATGAGCTCTGATAAGTCACATAAAGATCCATTTGAAGATGAATCAGCATCCTCTATCAACTCAGATGAACAGCAACACATAGAACCCATCGAATCTTCTGAAAATGTTCCAATGGATGATGATGATGACGTTGTTGAATCACTTTTATTTTCCTTCATCATTATTCCTTTAACATTCATTTCAACAAATATTTTTGTATCAAGAAGAAGAAATGAAACAATCCTTCAATGAAGAAGCTTAGATCCGTTATGTTGTATTTATAAAAATGTTGGATCTTATATATATAAGAATAATTGGATAACATTGACTAATTTTATCCCTTTTAGTATAGTTTACTGAAAATATTATTTTTATAATAAATTTTTGTCGTAATCAGATAAATGTTATATTAATATGGGGTGGAAAATGCATAGCTTTGTATTAGACAACAAGGATAAAGATAAGATCAAAATTTTTGGAGATGTGTATCCATGTAAATGAGTCACGTCCTTAATTAGCATTTTTTTTAAATATTTTGAGAGGGTAAAGTTAGGGTACACATCTAACCAACTTTGTTTCATAAAGCCATGACAGATAGGTATATATCTACATTCTCTTTTTTAATGCACTATTATATTCAATAACCACTAATAAAAAATTGATATTTCAAAATTCGCTTTGTTATTGGAGATTCATTCCGAAATCTCACAAAAAATTTAGGTATCTTATCACTTCATCTATAAATAATAATAATATAAAAATGAGTTTAATTGATATGTTACATTCTCATTCAATAAAAATATATCACATCATTAACTTAACATTTATAGTATGATGTGGTAGGATGTATGAAAGTGATTGGTTGACAGCGTAATAAATTCTATAAAAATATTATATTTAATTTGATTATTGTTATTGTTGTAAATTGATGTTGATAAAAATAAAATAAAATATGAGAAAAAATTGACTTTTTTTTTTTAAATAAACACAAGAAATTCTATTAAGTTTTATAAAAGAGAGAAGAAAGAAGAAGAATTTAAATTTGTTAAAAATCTGCTTTACTATTTACTTACTCAATAAGAGTTCAAAAATTACATGTGAATAACAACAATTAACATCTTTTAACAACCTGAGAGAACTGGTCTATTTATAGGTTACTAAGATAACTTAGGTTACACCCTAACTTAAATAATTGGGCTTACAAGCAAGACCTAATTCGACATGCTAACAATCCTGACATTTCGACTACTGCATGCTTGAGCATACTTTAACTATAGCATACAAGATCAACATGTGAACAAACTTCGACTACATGCTAAATCTTTGCCGAACCATGAAGTTATCCTTGTCGACACCAGAGTTCAATCCAAATACCAAAAATCTCCACATTGGAACAAACTATACACTAACAAGGGAATAAATTAGCTTTCATCATGCAACTTTATTAACTGCATACAGTGGAAAAACTTCATACTCGACAATGTCTTGGTGATCATATTAGCAACATTGTCATCAGTTAAAACTTTGTTGATGACATTTTCTCCTCTACGCTCACCGCACCAGTTTGTTGTGAATCGATGTCGTCAAGAACAAACCTAAATATGAGAAAAAGATTGATTTTTTTAAACAAACACAAGAAACTCTATTAGGTTTTACGAAAGACAGGGAAGAAGAACTGGAATTGGTTAAAAAATTGTTTTACTATTCATTTACTCAATAAGGGTTCATAGATTATAATTGAATAACAACAATTAACCCCTCTCAACAACATGAGAGAATTAGTATATTTATCTATTAATAAGTTAACTTAGGCTACAAGCTAACTTAAACAATTGGGCTTACATGGAAGTCTCAATTCCACATGCTAACAATCCTAGTATTTCGACTACTGCATGCTTGAGCATATTTCAACTAAAGTATACAAGATTAACATGTGAACAAACTTCGACTACATGCTAAACTTTTGTCGAACCATGAAGCTACCCTTGCCAACACCTAAGTTTGATCCAAATATCATAATTATTATAAATAAAAGTAATTTTTATTAAGAAAATTAATTAAATAAAATTAGTAAAATTTATTTTTATGTTTTATGAAAAATAAAAAATAAATTTAATATAACATTTTTGTTAATATTTCATATATCAATCATTTACATTAAATATTTTTAATTTAAATTAAAGATATAGTAAAAAAAAATATAAATATTATATAATTTAAATATCATAATACAAGTCTTAAAGTATTGTCATTTTATAATATTATAAAATAGTTAATATTAAAATTTTAATTATAATAGTATCATAAATTAAGTATACATATATTAATTTAATTATAATAATATTGAAAATTTATTTAAATATATTTTTAACAGTGTATATATTCGAAAACGAGCATTATTTAGTGACGGTCGTTGGTGCACAAGATTTCAGATGAAAAAGATTGAATAAAGAGAATTGAGTGACTAAGTTTTACTCTAATTGAAAAATGTTTACAAAATGAATTTCATTCAATCTAAATCTTGTGTTTAGTTTATATACAATAGAGGAAATTAAAATACATCTCAAATTAATCCTAAATGCAATTTAAATGAAAATGCTAACTAGCTGCATTTGAATTACACTTTAACACCATCTTTTAATCCACATTCAAGACTAAAATCAATAACACCAATTCCATTCCTCAAATGAATAAACTGCTTAGTCTTGATAGCTTTAGTAAGCACATATACAAGTTTCTTCTGAGTGCTATAATGAACAACTTCAAGCACTCTATTCTGAACTTGATTGCGCAGAAAATAGAACTTTGCGTCAATGTATTTGCTCCTTCCATGAAGCACTAGATTCTTGGCAAGGCTTATAGTTGATTTATTGTCAATCATCAATCTCACATGCTTGCTTACCTTGATCTTGAGATCCTTCAATAAGTTCATAATCTAATGAACTTGACACGCAAACAAAGTCCCTACAATGTACTCAGATTCACAGGTTGACAATTCAACCACTGGTTGCTTTTTGAAGCATTAAGAAATGGGACATCCTAGATACTTGAAGAAATATCCAAAAGTACTTCTTTTATCAGCTCTGTCTCCATACCAATCAGAGTATGAATAGTATATCAGCTCTGAATCAAATTTAGCACCCGAAGAGAACAAAATTCCATACCTCAGAGTCCCCTTAATATACCTCAGTATTCTAAAAACAACTTGGTAATGTGACCATTTTGGTTTGTTCATAAGCCTACTCACCATTCCAAATGTGTAATAGATGTCAGGTTTGATCTTACAAAGATATCTCAATAATCCCACAAACTGTTAAAAAGTTGTAGCATCTACATCATCACCCTCAACATCAGAATCCAGCTTATGATCTCTTTCAGCATGTGTTATTGCAGATTTTCAATTTATCAACTCAAATATCTTCAGAAGCTCAAGTTCATACTTTAGTTGATGCAAAATTATACCCTTATTAGAGTACAAAATCTCCATCCCTAAAAAATATACCATATTTCCTAGATCAGTCATCTCAAACTCATTCATCAACACCTTCTTGAACGTGACTATCTCATATGAATAACTCCCCGTTTGGCAATATGTCATCAACATAAAGACACACAAGAATCATATTGCTATCAGATATATGTTGAACATAAACTCCATACCCCACCTCACATATTTTTATTCCTTGAAGCTTGAAACATGAGTAAATTTTCAGATTTCAAGATCTAGGAGCTTGTTCGGTCCATACATGGCTTTATGAAACTTATACACCACCCCTTCCTGATTCTTTTTCAAAAACTCAGGTGGTTGTGACATATAAACTTTTTCTTGTAAAGGACCATTCAGAATTACATATTTCACATCTAAATGCATCATAGGCCAATTTCTATTAGCAGTTACAACAATCGCCAATCTAATTGTTTCATTCCTAGCTACATGCGCAAACACTTTAAAGTAATATAATCCAAATTTCTGTAGAAATGCTCTAGCTACTAACCTTTCTTTGTGCTTTCTTGTTGATCCATCTAGATTCAGCTTCAACTTGTAAATTCATCCAAAACTGATGGATTTCTTGTTCTTTAGAAGCTTAGTCAACTCTCAAGTCTTGTTTCTTTCTATAGGATCAAGTTCTTCTTTCATGGCCTTCAGCCATAATTTTTTCTTGATAGCTTTTTCAATACTAACCAGTTCATAGTCAACCAACATGGCACACTGAATGACTTTCCCTTCAGAGTCTATCTCAGTATCTTATAACATGTCAATCTCTGCAAATATTCTTGGTATTTATCTGATTCTTTATGGCCTTTAAACTTGTTTAGAATATCTTTCAGATGCTTGAACATTATCAGATGCTGGACTACCTTTAGAGGTTGGACCTCCTTTAGAAGTGTGAGGGCAAAACCTCATATATAGATGTGCTCGTTTCGATGATGTCAAAACTCAACTTCATAGAAAAATATATGTTGGACGTTGTCACCATGTTGTATTTGCATGTCTTGTCTCTCATAATTCAAATGCTCGTAAAAATCACGAATGTTGCATATAGATAGCCAAATATGTGTGTCATATAGGGTTGACCTAGTTGGTGTTGTTTGTCATACTATAGTTTTCATCAAAACTGTCGTAAAGCATGAAAGTAGGCATTTTTGATTGTTTCAGGGCTTTAAGTCGACCAAAAACCTGCTCCGGTCGACTCACACTACAAGTCTTTTTAGTGCATTAGTCTCAGGAGGGCTCGCGTCGACCCTCCGATCGGCTCATACTGTAAGCATTTTTGTTTGGCTAAAAATGCATGTTATGCTCCGGTCGATGCATGGTTCTGTTTTCTGCACAATCTTACATTCGGGTCTGCTCAGGTCGACCCCCTCTACTACATACGTTGACCGCTCGCTGTTTTGTGTCAAAATTCTGATATGTCAACTGTCTTTTTGAATTGGTTTTGTTTGTTATGTCAGTTATGTTTGGTATATAAGTTCAGTTGTTCTTTTATTTCACAACACAATTGAGAAAAACAAGAAAATTGAAATAGGTGTTTATTTGGTTCTCATCATCTTCATTCTCTTCATAGCATTTCACAACAATTACACATAATCATCTTTGTTGTGCATTGTGCATGTTCGAGGTGATACCGTCCAAAGCTGAAGGTTGGTTTATCTGGTTTGGGTTGAATAATCGATAGGTTTTTCTTGAACAAAACCTTTA